TAAAATGGTTACAGATGTTGACATTTAAATTGAGAAGTTCTGTAATTAGCACCCAGGGTAGTATCCAGTGAAGTGAATAGGTTATTTCATATCTCAGAGCTGTTGTTTCAGGTTCTTTGCAAATTATGGCAGGTGTTTCTGCTTTGCTTACATTTTCCTTCCCTTTTGGAAGGTTTTGTTCACACTAATAGCAGACCTAAATATTTTTAAAATGAAAGCTGAAACTTTGAACAAGAGGTCTAAGTACCTCTGCTGTTCTTTACCTAATAGACTATCATGCTTGCTCCACGGCTTGCTCTGGGTTAAAAAAATAATTGTTCAAGTATAATTTGAATAGTTCAAGAACTGGTAAATTCTTAATCATCTTACTCTACCTGTTGTCAAACTAAAACAATCATTCCTTTCATTTTTCTGTGTATGGAGGGGTGTAGGGAGGAGGGGGAGAGAGAGACTTTTGAGAGAGAGCAAATGAGCTGGATTTTTAACCTCTTAATTTTCTATGTGTAAAATTTGAAGAAGGTTGCCTTGTTGCAGTGACAACACTGGAGGGAGTTCAGGAGATCTGAATTCTTTCTACAGACCTTGGGGAAAATAATGCTCTGAGTCTTAGTTTCTGCTGTGTAAATGATGATACTACTTTCTCACCTATCTGAGATTTTTGGGACTATATCAGTTGGTGAGAAGCACTTGGATACAATAGTGATGGAAGTGAGCAAAACTTGTAAATAATAACTGTTGTCTTGAATTTTCTTCACAGAGCTCAAATGATACTTTCCCAACAGCAATGCATATTGCTGCTGCCCAGGAAGTTAATGAAGTATTGTTACCTGGATTACAGAAGCTGCAAGATGCACTTGAAGAAAAATCCAAAGCATTTTCCCAAATCATAAAAATAGGACGTACCCATACCCAAGATGCTGTTCCACTCACTCTTGGGCAGGTATAAAACAATATAATTTTACCTATTTGTTTGGAGCATTTCTTGTCAATTAAAGGAGCTAATTAATGTTCATCAAGGTAAGTAGGACAAGGAAGCTAGGTTGGCAACTGAGAACAAATTTTTGATGAACAGCTGAATTTCTGTTTTGTTATAGCCAGCTTGTGTTTACCAAAAATGACTGTGCAGCATTTCACATGCAGTACTTTGGGAATCTTTTTTGAAAGTCACTGATAAAGAGAAGAGCTCCGTGGAAAATAAATAAGTTTGAGCAGAAGGTGTAGCTCTACAAACAAATCTAAATAATCACAGGATAGCCTGTGATTATCATGTTAAATTATTGTCTATCTGTATTTTTTTTTCAGCCAGAAAACCAGCCGCAGTGAAGGCGTTAACTGATTAATGTAAATGTAGTATTATCTAGAAATATGCAAACAAGGGGAACAGTTAAATAAAATTCTTCTAATACTTATTGTAGGTGTTTACTTTTAATAAGAATACAAAGTATTCAAACAAATTAGCTTGTTTTGAACTAATATCTCTTTCGGGAGCATTACCGTGTTAAAAATTAGGACTTATTTCAATTGCAGAAATATAAAAAAGCATCAGATTAGTTTGGTGCTATTCACTAAACAGATACGCACACACAAATGTCCTGCTTAAGTGAGGTTTTAATGAAGAGGCAATACCTAAGATGAGATCCTAGAATCTCATCTGTGTGGATTGTGCTGAAACATGAAATAATTGCAGGATCCAGGTTTACAAAAAATTAGAATTCAAAGAATGAATGGAGTGGGAAAGATGAACACAAACACCTTTTGGATACCTAAAAAAGCCAAATTATTGTGTAACTACAGAGCTGTCTCCAATATAGGAGCAGCTCACTAATCTATGCAAGTTCTTCTCAATAATCAAAATATATTATTTGGATGGAGACTGGTGCTTTGGGGGCTTTTTAATATAAGCAGTACATCATGTTAAATGATAAAATAATTCTAATCAATTCATATTTTTTGTCCTTTAAAAAAAAAAAAAAGGAATTCAGTGGTTATGTGCAACAAATTAAATACGGTGTGGCTAGGATTAAATCAGCCATGCCCAGAGTCTATGAGCTGGCAGCTGGTGGCACTGCAGTTGGCACAGGATTAAATACCAGAATTGGCTTTGCTGAGAAAGTTGCTGCAAAGGTGGCTGAATTGACAGGTAATTCTTTTCTTTTTTTCATCTTATTCCTTATTGCACTTGTTTTTTCTCTCATCTCAGAATAGCTTATGTGCTCTAGTTCAGGATAAAGTCGTGCTGTTCCCTTTGGACTGCCTAAGTCTTAAAGGATATTATGGAATCTTAATAAATATTTCTTTACCTTATGTCATGGAGCATGCCATGAAACATAAGACAGTCCCATTTGTTTTTGTGTTGATTCTTTAGTCTTCCTATTAGAACTGTAACAGAAGATAACAGTTCTGTAGATTTTACTGTTACATTTTGCCATTGAGTATGTCTGAACTACTTTTAATTTTTTTTCAAATAAATCAATTAGATTTATTGTTCTGGCAGTGATTATAAATTATTGTACTATTCTGAGCAAGATCTACTATGGGTAGATCTGGTTTCGATCTTCCATAATTAACTCTGTCAGAGTACTTCAGTTATGATCTTCACAATTCGTGTTCTTGTAGCCCAGGGCCCTTTGGTAAGAAATATGTCGGTGATACTAAATTCTGTGCAGGGAAAAAGGCTGTTTCCTTTTGAGAACAGCTTCCTAGGTCTAAATCTAATTAAGTGAACCAACTAACTGACTAATAAACAGGATTCCCACAAAACATTATCACTTTTAAGAGGTTTTCTAGAGTTAATGCCTCAGCATTTCATTTTATTTTAGCAATGCTAGGTTTAAAATTAATTTCTAACTAGTAAGTTTGTTTATAATTAGATCCTTTGCTCACTTTGTGGTAAAGAGCTTAAGCATACCCTGATAACCAGTCAGAAACCATACGTATATACTGACAATATTTCCATTTTAAAATAGTGTCTGTGTTGTAACGAAGCGATTTCTGTTATCCTCCTTGCTTCTTACTGAGTTGATAGGGGGGATATTGCTCTGTATATGAACATAAGCAGCCTAAACTTAGGTAGGAGAGGTGAGTTATTGAAGTGCTGCTCATTCAGTTGCAAAAAGGCAAATATAATGCCCATCTTTATAAAGGAAAGAAGGAAGCTTCTCTCAGGCAAGCTAAGGAAGTATGGGTTTGTTGGATGAATGGACTGTAAGGTGGATAGAAGACTGGTTGGATCAGAGGGCAGTAGACAATAGCTCAATGTCTAGTTGGCAGCCAGTATCAAGTGGAGTGCCCCAGGGATCATTCCTGGGGCCAGTTTTGTTTAATATCTTCATCAGTAACCTGGAAAATGGTATGTGCACCCTCACAAGTTTTCAGATGATACCAAGCTGTGGGGAGTAGTTGATATGCTGGAGGGTAGGGCTAGGATTTAGAGAGACCTAGACAAATTGGAGGATTGGACCAAAAGAAATCTCATGAAGTTCAGTAAGGACAGGTAGAAAGTCTCCTGCACTTAGGATGGAACAATCCCCTGCACCAATGCAGTCTGAGGACTGACTAGCTAGGCAGCAGCTCTACAGAAAAGGACGTGGGGGTTACAGCAGACAATAAGCTGAATATGAGCCAACAGTTGAATAAGTTGAATATGAGTGCCTTTGTTGCGAAGAAGGCTAATGGCATCATGGGCTGCATTAGTAGGAACATTTGCTAGCAGATTGAGGGAAGTGATTCTTCTCTCTTTTGCACTCGTGAGGCCACATCTCGAGTACTGTGTCTAGTTTTGGGCTCCCCACAGAAGGCATATGGACAAATTGGAGAGTCCAGTGGAGGGCAATGAAAATGGTTGGGTGGCTGGGGCACATGACTTCCAAGGAGAGGCTGAGGGATCTGTGCTTATGTAATTGGAGAAGAGAAGACAGGGGGAATTTAACAACAGCCTTCAACTACCTGAAGGGTGGTTCCAAAGAGGATGGAGCAGGGTAGGGGTGGGCAAAATGGTGGATTGTGGTCGGACTCTCATTTCCGAGCAGCCTCTGCCTGTGCTGCTGTGGCCGGGTTTCATGGAGACCACAGCAGCAGCGGCGCTGTGACAGTGCGGGATCGGGGTTTCCATGAAGACCAGCCCCAGCAGCGCTGGCAGGGTGTGAGACAGGGTGGGGAGCTGCTCTGCGATCAGTGTTGGGATCTTGCAGTGGTGACAGTGTGGTCTGGAGTGTGCAGACAACAGATTGCAGCTCTGCCTCAGCTTTGGACCCTGCTGTCACTGCCACAAGATCCCAGCCCCCGAGCAGCTCCCCGCCCAGCTGCACACCCTGCCAAGGCTACTGGGGTTGGTCTCCATGGAAACCAGCTGCAGCAACATGGGCAGGGACTGCTGGGAAATGGAGTCTTCCACAGGCCCGATCCAGCCCACAGGCCAGACTTTGCTCATCCCTGAGCTAGACTGTTCTCAGTGGTGGCAGATGGCAAAACAAGGAACAATGGTCTCTAGTTGCAGCAAGGGAAATTTAGATTAGGTATTAGGAAACACTTTCTGACTAGGAAAGCACTGGAACAGTTTACCCAGAGAAGTTGTGGAATCTCCATCCTTGGATGTCTTAGACTTGGCTAGACATAGCCTTGGCTGGGATGATCTTATTGGGGGTGGTCTCCCTTTGAGCAGGGGGTTGAACTAGATCAATGGTCTCCAGCCTTTTTAAGTAGGAGATCACCTATGGCATTTAAAAGCAGCCCAAGATCTACCATGCACTGCCGCCACCCCCTCCCTCTCCCCCTGTCCCTGTCCAGCAGGTAAGTCTGTGTGGAGGTGAGGGGGTACATATCGAGGCAAAGGGAGAAAAAATGATCTGGGGGCACACCTCCCCAGCAGGTGAGCCCCACTCAGCCGGGACCCCACTCAACTTACCCCTGCTCTTGCCTCCACGACACTGTCCCTCACTACGGGGGCCTTGATCTAGCCCCCGCCCCTCCCCTCCCCCACGGACTGACCTGCTGGGTTGGGCCACGCGCGTGCATGCATGCAGGCACTCAGCCCTAACCCCAGCCTCAGATTGATTCCACGAGGCTCCGAGATCTACCAGTGGATTGAGATCCACTGGTTGGTGACCACTGAACTAGATGATCTCCTGAGGTCCCTTCCACCCCTAATTTTCTATGATTCTGTACTCTCCATGGTATGAAGAAGAGTTCTTCATGGTTGAGCAGTGGAAACTGGAGTAATCTCAAGAAAAAGAGGGATAAGTCAACCAGCATATTCAAGAGCTGGTACAAGTTGGGAGGGGATGAGGGATGGTGGCTGAAATTAAATTCTTGCAAAGTTGCCGAAAATGTACTTTAATCTAGAGAGGGGCCTACCATTTTCTGCAACACCCGTCTGAACTCCCACCCACAGATTAGCATCTCTGCACACACCATGGTGACTTTGATCCTTATCCCCAAAACACCAAACTAGTTAGCATGTTCAGGCTTTCTGACTGAAAATACCTCTCCACCACTGCCATAATGAACCACTGCACAACTGCTCTAAGATCTTTTCCTTGCTAATAAATGGCTAGGGTTGTCAGTACTTCAGCAGCTCTTAAATTGGATTTTACATGCACTTGTAAGTTTCTTGCTGTTTACGACTTCCTGATACTTAGTATCTTGGATAAACATCTCCTTTGCTTTCCTCTAATATATTTTGTTACAGAAGGGCTGGAGAAGGAAAGGATCCATTCTGATTAGTATTTTAATTTTACATTTTTTACTTTATAATTATATTAAACCATATTATGAGTGATTTCTGCAATGTTTCAAGAGCTTTGGCTGGGGGAAGAGGTGGGTGCTGCTTTTGCCATTGTTATGCCTTAACCCTCTTAATCCTCTTCAGGTTTGCCTTTCATCACTGCTCCAAATAAATTTGAAGCCCTTGCAGCTCACGATGCTCTAGTTGAACTGAGTGGGGCCATGAACACCGTGACATGCAGTCTGATGAAGATAGCTAATGATATTCGTTTCCTGGGTTCAGGGCCACGTTCTGGCCTAGGAGAACTCATTCTCCCTGAAAATGAACCTGGAAGCAGCATTATGCCAGGTTGTATATCTAATGTCTTTAACTTTGTATAGATCAAATAATTAACAACTATATATAGAACTAACCACTGAGTTGAATAAAAGTGGTGTGAAGCAGTGGCATGATGCAGTTTTGGTCAGTTAATCCCCTGTTTTCTAGTACATACATATTTTTTCAAGTAGTTTTTTGCTTTTATAACCGAGTATACTTTGGAGAAGTGCTGTATAAAGATTTAAGAGCAGTACATTACTTCTGGGTGATAAAACAGCACTTGTGTGTGAAGGCAAACGGCTGTCAAGAACATACAAAGCAGCCTTTCAGATATTTCCCTTCTGCATAAAGCAACCTAATTGCATCATCAGAAAAGAGCAGCAGGTTTAATAAATCATTGCTTTTTGCCCAGTGGTGCTCAACCTACAGTCTGCTGGCTGGATCCAGTCTGTGGCATGGGGAATCAGCAGCAAGCAGCTTGGCCTGGCATGTCCCCTTCCCTTCCCTGTGCTATGCTGCTGATCCCCTTTACAGCCCTCGTTGCTCTTTTCCATCACCTATGGCAGGCTGTAGGAAAGTGAAGTGTCTTCCTCTCTCCCTTCCCTCCCTCTGACATTGACTCCTAGCTGGAGGGAGTGGTGCCTCACAGTGCAACTGGGTTGTAGGCACCTGGCCCGTTGCTTTAAAAGGTTGAGCACCACTGCCTCTGTGTAGTTCATTAGCTGAAAGCCCTTTTAAGAGCTGAATATTCAAGGAACAAAACCTGCAGATATGACAGGGAGGAATAAATGAGCTAATGAAAGCTGAGTTTATTGACTTTTTTTCTTGAATCTCCTTTTTGCAAACAGGAAAAGTGAATCCCACCCAGTGTGAAGCTGTTACGATGGTGGCAGCTCAAGTGATGGGAAATCATGTTGCTGTTACAATAGGAGGCAGCAATGGACACTTTGAACTGAATGTTTTCAAGCCCATGATTGTAAGCTCAAAACACTAATCATTTCAGAAACCATATACTTTCTTATATATTGTTTATGAAGAATTTAAAAGACTGCATGGGCAATGCAGTCACTTGAGTGATGAAGAAATATAAATATTAGGAGAAATGAGAATTCTTAACAGTAAATCAGTTTGTTTTGAAAGACAACTTGTTGTCCCATATATGATGGATAGTTTTTTAGCACTTTGAGCTCAGAGGTGCATATACTCTGATCATACTGCCCTGGCAGAAGAAAGGCAAACAACAAAACTGAGGCCACTAGGTTGAGCAACTTGTCTGAAGCCCCGAAGGGTCTGTCTTAGGACTGCTTCTCATTCCAGAGCTTAGATGACACCTTTTGTTGTTGGGCAGTCTCTTTGGCCTTCCTGAAGTATGGTCTCCTGTAGGCAGGAAGACCTTTTCCAGTTATACCATTGCAGTCTCCCATTTAATTTGATGATGTTCAAACTACAACTTCAGATTAACAGTGTTTACATAAACTAACTGTATGTATACTACTTCCAATAAAAGGACTACCTGCCTTTCTCTTCAGGAAAGCTATGAAGAGGAAAGGAGCTGTAAGGAAGAATGAATTGAGGGGAAAAGTAAGAGGAATAATAAAGATAAAAACCATAATAAGCACAGGGGTTTAGGTTGTAGCCATGTTGGTCTAAGGATATAGGCAGACAAGGTTCCTTGGGTGAATTTGATATCTTTTATTAGACCAACCCAAATGGTTGGAGAATAGTTATTAAGCAAGCTTTCGGGTTCAAAAACCCTTCGTCAGGCTCAGGAAGCTGCAGCAGTTGGTGTGCGCTCTTCCTGGATGGAATGAAAAGTAAAGAAGCCAGGGGCTGGGCTGGGCTGGGGAGTCAGTTGCCAGGCAGATTGTAATGTATCAAAAATCCAATGTCTATGTTTAGTCCCTGATCTCTAGTATCCAGCAGGTTGATGAAATGGAGCTCATAGGCTTGTCTCTGGGAAGTGTTGTGTAAGTTTCCCTTGAGGATCAGGACTGAGAGATTGGAGAGAGAGTGGCCCTCCTGTGAGAAATGTGCCCCCACCGGTAATTGGGTGTTTCTGTCTTTGATGGATTTCCGGTGTGCATTCATTCTGGTGCGCAGTTGTTGTCTGGTCTCTCCTACATATCTTCCATCAGGGCATTTGGTGCATTGGATGAGGTATACTACATTCCTGGAGGTGCAGCTGTAAGATCCTGGGATGCTGATGGCTCTGTTGTGGGGTGTAGTAATAGTGGGGGTGGTGGAGATGTGTTGGCAGGTTTTGCATTTCTTGTCATGGCACGGTCTGGATCCTTTTGGTGTGTTCTGGGGTTGAGGAAGTTTGCTTCTGGTGATGAGGTTGGCGAGGTTCGGTGCTTGTCTGAAGGCTAGGATGGGTGGCTCTGGGAAGATCTTTTTAAGAATAGGGTCTTTTTCTAATATGGGTTGCAATTTTTTGAGGATTTTCCGTACAGGTTCAAGGGATGGGTGATAGGTCATAACCAGCGGTGTGCGATTTGTGGGTGTTTTTCTTCTGTACTGCAGCAGTTCTTCACGTGGTATCCAGGTGGCTCTTTCAAACGTGCGATCTACCTCTCTGGAGGAGTGTCCTTGCTGGGTGAAAGCCTTTTTAAGATTGGTGAGGTGGCAATCCCGGGTGTTCTCTTCAGTACAGATGCAGTGGTCTCTGAGGGCTTGGCTGTATATCACTGCTTTTTTGGTGTGTTTCGGGTGATTGCTGGTTCTGTGCAGATATGTATGTTGGTCTGTGGGTTTCTTGTATACTGTGGTCTGTATTTTACCCTTCTGGATACTGATCCTTGTGTCTAAAAAGGGGATGTTGGTGTTGGAGTATTCTAAAGAAAGTCGGATGGAGGGATGGTGACTGTTGAATTTCTGGTGGAACTCAAGTAGAGATTCCAGGTTCTCACTCCAAATGATGAAGATGTCATCGATATATCGTAAGTACAGCAAGGGTTTGATGGTGCAGTTCTTGAGGAAGTCTTCTTCCAGGTGGCTCATAAAAAGGTTGGCATACTGTGGGGCCATTTTAGTGCCCATAGCTGTTCCCATCATCTGGAGGAAGTGTTGATTATTAAAAGTGAAATTGTTGTGTGTGAGGATGAAGTGTATAAGCTCAGTGATATCTTTGGGTCTGTATTCTGGGTTGTAATCTTGTTCCTGTAGATATGTAAGGCAGGCATGGATGCCATCCTGGTGTGGGATGTTGGTGTATAGGCTGGTAACGTCCATGGTGGCTAGGAGTGTGTTCCTGGGAAGGTGGTCTATGTGGATCCTTTTGGTGTGTTCTGGGGTTGAGGAAGTTTGCTTCTGGTGATGAGGTTGGCGAGGTTCGGTGCTTGTCTGAAGGCTAGGATGGGTGGCTCTGGGAAGATCTTTTTAAGAATAGGGTCTTTTTCTAATATAGGTTGCAATTTTTTTGAGGATTTTCCATACAGGTTCAAGGGATGGGTGATAGGTCATAACCAGCGGTGTGCGATTTGTGGGTGTTTTTCTTCTGTACTGCAGCAGTTCTTCACGTGGTATCCAGGTGGCTCTTTCAAACGTGCGATCTACCTCTCTGGAGGAGTGTCCTTGCTGGGTGAAAGCCTTTTTAAGATTGGTGAGGTGGCAATCCCGGGTGGTCTCTTCAGTACAGATGCGGTGGTATCTGAGGGCTTGGCTGTATATCACAGCTTTTTTGGTGTGTTTCGGGTGATTGCTGGTTCTGTGCAGATATGTATGTTGTCTGTGGGTTTCTTGTATACTGTGGTCTGTATTTTACCCTTCTGGATACTGATCCTTGTGTCTAAAAAGGGGATGTTGGTGTTGGAGTATTCTAAAGAAAGTCGGATGGAGGGGTGGTGACTGTTGAATTTCTGGTGGAACTCAATTAGAGATTCCAGGTTCTCACTCCAAATGATGAAGATGTCATCGATATATCGTAAGTACAGCAAGGGAAGTCTTCTTCCAGGTGGCTCATAATAAGCACAGGAAATTCATGGAGAAGGGAGGGTTTAAAGTCAAAAGGAGAAAATTAAGAAGCAAGGTAATGGTTAGAGCAGAAGAGAAACTATAAAACAGTTGTTTTAGGCCTGCAGAAAAGATCCTAGATATAAAATAGTAGTAGGAGTAGTAGATGCAGATCAGAAACGGTAAAGGAAATGATGTAGCTAGCAACATAATATTTTTTTACTTGGTCATTTATTGACTACCATACTATTTAGAAGAGGGTCATTTAAAACAAATCCATAAGACAGTTGAAATCCAGTTGTCTCTGAATATCCTAAATGAGGGGTTTCAAATTGGTTTGGCCTTGCGGGGGGCTGTATCTGGACCTTGGGACTCTGCAGGGACCAGATCCAGACTCGCCCCAGCTGCTAAAATGTGAGTTAACAGTATATTACTAATCTACAATGATATTATCAGAATATTTAGAAGTCTGTTACCGTTGGCAGTGCTTACTAAAAGTTTTTACTTTGGTGCCATCTACCAGATTATGTAATTGGAATGTTGCCTCCCAGATAAGATGATACTTAAAGCTTGCAAATGTCATCATCTACTGTTGTATAGTTTAGTTAAGCCAAAATAAAAATAATTACCTAGCAGTTTACTCTGAGAAGCTTACGAAGATGCTTTCCTTACACACACAAGTTTGGATAATATTGGTTATGTGTAAGAATTCAACAATTCTTCAGTTTGAGAAGTTTCTCCCAAACAGCTTCTTAAATATCAATTATTTTTGTTACAGAACTGAGAGTACAATACAGTGCAATACACCGTTTCTAATGAAGTTCTGTCAATTGGGAAGATATTATAAGACAAATGATTTATTGCATCATTAAAACGCTAATAGCTGTGTCTAAACTTTCTGCCTTTTTTTTTTAAGATTAAAAATGTATTAAATTCTGCAAGGCTCCTTGGAGATGTTTGCATTTCATTCACTGACAACTGTGTGGTTGGGATCCAAGCCAATACAGAGAGAATCAACAAACTAATGAGCGAGTCTTTGATGTTGGTGACAGCACTTAATCCCCACATTGGTATGTCTCAAACTTTACCTATTATTAGATCAAATTAGGGGTGCACCAATAGAGATTTTTGGGGCAGATACAGATGGCCAATTTTTAAGGAGATGTATCAGTTGATATTGATCCAATTTCTGATACAGCTGTGTGCAGCTGGTAAGTCTGTTGTGGTGGATGGGGAGGGGGGATGGAAGGCGTGTGGGGGATGGATCAAGGACCCTGGTGTGGGATTGAGTGGGGCTGGGGCAGGTGCTGTCTGGACAGGGCGGGGTGCCAGACAGAGCCACAGCTTGTCCGGGGGGTGCGGGGTAGCTCTTGCTGCTGTGCACACCCCAGGAGGGCATGGGGGTGGGTGGGCGTGTGCCCCCAGATCTGCGGGGGGGGGGGGTGTGGGGGGTGGAGTCTGCAGCTGTGGGCTGGGGTCAGGGCTGCACCAGGCTCTTTGTGGCGGGGGGGGGGGCTGCCCTTTTTTTTTCCCTGTTGGCAGGATCCCGGCATGAGAGATCTGCAGCCCCTGCCCATGGCTGTGAGGGGAAGCTGTGGCTCCCCAC